TTGAGGAAATATACGTTTGAAATGATTTTATTTCGAGGAATCTATAAAAATATCTGGTAACTGTGAAACATCTTGTAGTTTCTAAGCGCTATCGGCGAGCTCTTAAGACTTCTTCGGCCACTAAACGCAACACTTTTTTTCGTTGAGTATTTTTCGCAGCAGGTGCCTTGTTATCAAGACAGCGCATTAACGTAAGTATAGAAACGGTCGTAAGCATGCCAGCCTTTTCACGGCAATCGTATTACGTGCGGATTATTTACAGGGCGGTTGTGCGGCTCCGAGCCAAAATTTTATACAGAATCAGAGAGTAATATCTAGTGGTGGTAATAACGTAATCATTTATTATTAACAATATTATAACGAAATAGGTCAAACGAAAAATTACCTTTATTACATAAAAATGCATTTACGACTCAAAGGGGTCGTATTTACGATTAGAGGATAAATTAAAAGAAGATTTGTTCCGGTGTCCATCAGAGATATTTCAAAAAGATCTTGCAAAGAGATATTATTTGCGGAAATAAATTTCTTTTTATTTCGCTGACTTTCAATTACTTAGCAGTAGAAGCAAATATCGAGACTTAATTCACCTGAATAAATGATTGCTAATGGGAATTTGCAATTTGGTATTTGCAATTGATTACGTCACTAAGATAATCTAGGAGAATCCGTTAGAAGAGGTCGTCCATCAAGCGGCTGTCGGATCTTTAACTGCGAGGAATTCAATTTTGTTCTCACAAGTCTTTTTGCATCTGTAATTTCTATGCGACGCGCTACGCAAAAGCGATAGATACCAAACGAAAAACTAATTGCCTAAATAATTTTATTACGGGCACATTAAATCTTGGCACGATTGTGTGACGTTTATTATTTCGTAATAAAATATTGTTGCTCTGTCGAATGGGCCATTTCTTATTCCTCTATTATCGCTAAATAATTTAGCTTTTTCAAAAATATTTTGTGCCCAAGAATTTCCATTAACTAAGGCACAAGAGAAAGCTCTGTGGAAAATGTTAAGACGACAGTAAGAACAATGCTTGAAGTTTGAAGCTCTCAGGCTTTTACGTAAACTAAATCGAAGAATCCGCTCGTCGCCCGCTCGTCGCCCGTCACCCGCGGCCCGTAAAAGAAGTTTGTGACATGTGATTTTCGCGAAATTCAACTCGTCATTTCGTTAATGAGCGCCCGACCTTAATAGAATAGTAGCACCAAATTGTCACTTTGGCCATTTCCTTCGCGGTGCAACACTCAACCTGATTGGAAGACGTATAGAAAATGTTACACAGAAGTGAGTAACAGTGTCAAACCGGGTCGACACGCGCGAATAATTCCATTCGCGTAAATTTAACGCCGCTCGTCGTCAAACCTGTTATCAGTCCTTATAACTCTGCTATAGATTTCGAATTATCGCGATTATTTCTTCGTGTCGCGTACATTAAGTGAAGCGCTTTCCTATCGTCGTATCTCTTATGACAATGATATTACGATGACAAGATGATTCAATATTAGCGAAGTAGAATGCAAAAACATTACACTCGTGAGTATATTTTAAAGTCCGAAGAATATATTTT